ATTTGTGAGTCATTTAAACCAAAAGTGATAGGCTGGTTTAAACAGTCATTATGCGACAAACTGTAACCTCATTGGCCACCTGCGTGGTCTAGTATCTCATTGGTCACCTGCATGACCAGGCTTGACCTTGTGAATTTTGCCTTTAAAAACCTAAGTACGTGGGCTGCTGGGGGTTGCAATATCAGTTCCCAAGCCTGTGCTGCGGCCCTGGCTGGTCAGTGTAGGAACCTTCTCAATAAAGTTGCTCCTTTATTAACAACTTTGTTGCAGTGGGCTCTGTCACTCTGGACTACTACGTGAGCTTGCTGCTTGAGTAGGGGTCTTCCTACTACAGAGTGTGGTAGTGTTTCCTTTTGGCAACAGAATCTGTAGCCAGAAAGAATCTGTAATTGTTAGTTTCCTTCTAAATGGCTAGTAAAACCGGGGTGAAGGGGAATATCACCATTATTTTGATTTGTATTCTTTTTTTTGGCCCGAGATGTTGAATATCTCATCAGGTATCTAGTAGCCATTTTTATTTCTTCTTTGGAGAAATATCTGCTTGAGTTTTTACCCATTTTTAAAAGTTTTCTGTTTTAAATTTTTGAACGTTGAGCAGATTTTAGGTGTGAGGCCTTAGTCTGCTGCATTAAAGATGTTCTCCCATTTTGTGGGCTGTTAATGTTGCTAGGTATATGGTTTGTCGTGCAGAAAAGTTTCATTTTGATTAAATATAATTTACCCAGACTTCGTTTGATTTGTTGTGAATCTAGATCTTGACTCCATCCTGTTTATGGCGGCCATGTTGTTGAAAGATTTTAATTCTGGACTTTCAATTTGAGAATGTTCATGTTTGTTGAAAAGATGGGTCTCTTGTAGTAAACAGAAAGATGAGTTTTTCTTTTTAATCCAATTGCTCAATCTGCATCAGTTATTTGGAGAGTTAATTCCATTGAGCATTAAGAAGTATTTGGTAACTCCTGGCATGTTATCTACTAATTTAGTGCTTGTGCTTCATTTTTTCCCCCCAGTGGCAATGATTTTTAATTTAAAATTTTTTTATTGTGAAAATACTGTACAGAGGGGTTACAGTTACATGGGCAAGATAATGAGTACATTTTTTATCGAGCATTGTAGCCTCCTCCTTTATTTACCCTTCCCATCCCTTGCCATCCTCCCTCGTCCCCACCCAATCCTCTCCCCCCCAACCCAAGTAGTAAAGTTCGTTTTTGACCTGACAACTTGTACTTCTCATTGTTGCAACAGGTCCACCTGTATCCTTATTTAAATAACTTCTTTTTCCCCTTCCCCTCCACAAATTATACCGACATCAAATACAGTGAAAGCAAGGGTTATACTGTGGGGGAGGGACATACAAAGCAAAAGAGAAATAATCTTATAATTGCGATACAAACAAATGCATGAAAGAAAAAAAACATTTAAAATACATACCTTAGGGTACATTTTCCTAACACCACCTTATCTGACCTTTTCTGCTTGACTCATACATATACTAGATATTGCAAATAAGGGAAACCATGGGACCTATGTTTCTTTGGGCCTGGCTTACTTCA